GCCTCCCACAGTGCTGGGATTACAGGCTGAGCCACCGCGCCCGGCCCATTCGTCAGGTTTAAGTAAAACACTGCATTACCAGTACAACTGGTTTAATAGTTGCAAAACATACAAAATTACAAAATACAGGTGCATACAAAAATACAAAATACAGGTGTAAAAAATACCATAGGAAACATTTTCCCAATTGCAAAACATATCAAAATATATAAACATGTATGAAACATTTTATTGGCCGCTGGTGCTTGGCTGCGGATTGTTGATGTCGTCATCTGAGGCAGCAGTTCGGGTTACCGGAGCTGGTTTTTTCAAAAACATGGTGAGCTTTGTCTGAATTGTATGTTTCTTTTTTCCTTCATAAATTTCACGATATGGACAAAACACACCGTGCGCCATCCGTTCAATCCTTGCAAATCGTTCGATGTTTGGGTCCATTGCTTTGAAATGTATAAGAAGTTTATTCAATAAAGATAAACCGTCTGATAATCCCTTAGTGGTGAACTTTCTTTCTGGCTCCTCCTCTTCTTTCTCTCCTTCTCTTCTTTCTTCTTCCGCCACTCTTTCTTCTTCCAGTTCGATTAGCTCCTCATTTGTAAGTTCTCCGGATTCTTTGTCTAGCAACTCTTCGACATCTTTCATTTCACACTCCAAAGAAAGGTCTTTAGTGAGTTTTACTATTTTTTCCCTAATCGTTTCAAGTTCATGGTCACTGTCAAATCCGTCAAAATCATTAACATAGCGCTTAACACAATTTTTCCAGATGCCATTCATGCCCTTTGTTGTCACAGCCTCCCAGGCGGTAGCAATATTCTTGATACACAACAAAATGTTGTAGTGTTTCCAAAAATCTACAGCAGAGCAGTGGTGGCTAGCAATTGTGGTCGTAAAGTCAAATGGTTGTAAGTTGCATAGATCGTAAGTCAATCAATACCTGTAGTGGCTCAGGCCTGTAATCCCAACATTTTGGGAGGCCGAGGCAGGCCGATCAATGATCAATGAGGTCAAGAGATAGAGATCATTCTGGCCAATATGGTGAAACCCAGTCTCTACTAAAAATACAAAGATTAGCTTGGCGTGATGGCCTGAGCCTGTAGTCCCAGCTATTCAGGAGGATGAGGCAGGAGAATTGCTTAAACCTGGGAGGTAGAGGTTGCAGTTAGCCAAGATTTTGCCACTGCCCTCCTGCCTGGTGACAAATTGAGATTCCATCTCAAAAAAAAAAAAAAAAAGTGCGTGTGTGTTGGGGGGGAGTTGATTTTCATATACAGTACAGGGACTGTCAGTTACCTAGCTAGGAATTCAAACCACAGGTATTGTAACCCACATTATTATCAGAAGGCTATACTCTAAAGGAAGTTATAGTAAGACCTTTAGCTATCTTTAAAATCTTAGATTATTAATAGGAGCTCTAAAACATCATTGAATGAATGCAAGAAATTTTCCACTAGGAAAATTAAGGGTCCTCAAAATAGGTGGAGGTATATGAATTGCCTGAAATATTTTAAAGAAATCCCACACTCTTGTTTGGACAAGGTATAACAGCCAAAGGAGCTTTTCAGCCTTTACTTTTTGCAATGGTTCCAAAGGCATGAGTCCAAAATAATGTCTGTGTTTGTACAAATCTTTTATAGACTGTGTAGTCAGACTCCATAAAAGATAGGAAATTGGGACTTCATCATGTTTTCAAAACAGTCTTTATGATTTCTTTGTATCTACCTGCTAATAAATGTGTGTGTGTGTGTGTGTGTGTGTGTACATATAAAAATGTGCATATATGTGATATACAAAAATATATGTGACTGTGTATTTGTATATATATTCATTATGTGCATATAATAAATGAACATTCATATATAATGTATGAATTTGGTTTCAGACTTACTTTCTTTGTAGCCTGGTAGAAACATTTTAGGTAGAGTTGCCAGCCCATGACTATCTCCAATAATTGGCAGATAACACTATCCAATAGAAACTCAGCATTGAGCATTCATTGACTCAGGCCAGTTTTCCAGTGTGGTCAGTGATGCAGAATTGTCTTGGGAGATAAGAAAAATACAAAATGTAATAAAAATAACAAACCGAAACCAAAACAATGTTTCAAACATGAAAGTAGAGTCATCTTGGTTAACTGGTGGCAATTTGGTAATAAGAGGAGGATGAGATTGATCTCTGGGTTAGCAACATGGAAGTCACTGCTAATGTTAATAAAAAGTTTGTTTTTGGAGTGGTGTAGATAAAAGTATGATTAGAATAGATTCAAGAAAGAATAAGAGAGTAGGAAATGCAGACCATAAGAACAGACAAATATTCCAGTGAGGGTTGCTGTAAATAGGAGCAGAAAAATATGATAATAGCTGAAGGGGACTGGAGCTATGGCAAATGTTTGTTAAGCTGGAGGAATTATAGCAAATTTGAAAGGATAAAGTAATGGTGCAGTAGAGAGAG